TATATATATAAATTTATTCAACAAGATCGTTCTACAAGAACTTTGACCAAATACTTCACTTGATCTGTTATTTAGTCCTGTGTAAATAGCAGATATTTTGCTCATATCATTTTTCTGTCTGATAAAAATGACCTCCCTGATTGCTCTTATTATACAAAAATCCGCTCCTGAAGAAGCCAGGAATGTCATCACATCTCATGTCCAAAACCTGCAATTTGTAGTCAGAGTCACATTGTCACATGTTTCTAAGGCTTTTTCCTACATTCTGATTTCATGCAAAAACGTCAGCCTTTTCATTTATTTATTCGTAAGATTTGATTGCTTCACATTGTGCACACAGACGGCCTAATAACTAAGCTGCTTATTGTGCTGTGAATCATAAACTCCACAGTGGGAGATCTTTGTTCACTTGCGGCCTGTAAAACTAATGAAAATCATGACTCGCTTTTTAGAACAACGAAGAGTCAAAATTATGTTGAGGTTACACTTAGGGGCTTTCACACAAAGAACATAGCCTTGGCAATATGAATCGATGGCAACTAGATTCCCCTTTTTATTGTGCAGTAAGTTTCTCGACTCCGAACTGAAAGGTGTGAAGTTATAAACTGCATTAGGCTGCTTATTTAGTAAGTTGTTGAACTCGCATGCAAATCCCTCTCCCTCCCATTCCTCCTGTAGATCATTAGATTCCTGGTTAACCTGGTCCATGTGCAAGATGTTCTGGTCCCATGCTTGATGGAGTGAATTGATATGAAACTGTCTGGGATTTACACTCATAGCTGCATTATATGAACTCTGAAACCTAATGCTTCCTCTGTTTATCACCAAAAAAGCACTGTCTCAACTTTTTAAACGTTTTGCTGCTTGAAATCCAAAACGAGTTGTTCCTCATGCAAATCAATGCACACTGTTGAAAACAGAAAATGTTTATTAGAACATTTGGAAAAAAGGCCAATCATATACCTAAACTATGTATTTCTGTTACAGCTGAAACAAAAAGTAATTTAACACAAAGCAGGAGAGCCACAATTAGCACATCTACCAAGACTATACTTACTTATACACTGAACATCTTTCATATGCTGTGATGCAGGTTTTTCTTGTAAAACAATTTAACTCCATGGTGGCTCCATGTTGAAAAAATGGCTATAAATCTCATGCGTTTGGAATTTACTATTTCTTACTATGTTTCAGAAAAGGATTTTGCTCATGCTGGTAATAATGAAAAGCAAGTGTCTTCTGTTGCTAAATGACATTTAACAAATTATGAACCATTGATAATACATACTTTATAAATCCAATTACTTTTGGGGCATCACTTCCTTTAAAGAAAGCATTTGCAATGATTTCAAGCTTTTCAAACTCAAAAATAATTTGAATTGATGTTGATACAATCATATCTATTGAAAGATAGGAATGATGATGAGGTTATTGCAAATATACAGTATAAGTATGAGAAGGGTGTTCCAAAAACAATAAAATATGACATGACAGAAATTCATAACTGGCAAGATACAGTTTTCTAATGTTATTGAACCAAATAAAACTCTGACAGGGGAGCCCAAAGTGTGGCTCGTGGGCCAAATTTGGCCGGCCAAGCCATTTGATTTGACCCACCAAAAATTGCCATAGTTACTAGGTAACCTGTCATACTATGTAGAAACAGTATTTCCACCTAAAATAATTTTATCCATTGGCCCATTGACTATATAAGGTAGGGCTATTCAACTAAATTGCTCCGGGGCCACAATTAATGCAGACCAACAGCTCAAGGGCCGAACGTCCAGCAACGAAAGTTGTTATGTAAATAAACTAAGTATTACAAAGATCTGTTACCTTTGAAATAGTTTATTTTGCTGTATTTAATCATTAAAACATACAGAACCCTATTTAATAAATGTAGTGATGGTAAAACAAACAAAAAAGAAACATATTATGTCTCTTATTTACCACAGAATATTTTGACATCTCTGACTTGCAAAATTTTTAAACCAATTTTATTTTCGCTTTCATAGTTTTATCTTCAACTGCTTGTAGTTTTAACTGTCTTGGATCTTCATAGAAATGGTTTTTACCAGCTTGTAGCCAAGATTCTGACGTTTCTGTAGACACCAAATACATCTGGGTTTAACTAAAATAACTTAGGGTAATTAAAGTCAAAAACTGGGGGTTTGGGCTTAAGAGGTGAATGAACCAATTGGCGGGCCAAACTTTGGTCAGCTGCCAGTTCAATTGCCCTGATATAAGGGGCTGTAATTCAGATAATTTTCACTCACGGTGCTGACTTCATCTTTGATATATTAAAATTAAACACGAAACATGAAATACAAGTAATAAACATTGATATTTAGATTAGATTTAACCACACATGTAGATTTGTACACTTTATAAGGCCACAAAAACTCATATTTTATCAGTTCATGAAATGTCACATGAGCCTTTGCTGCTTGAGCATATGGCAGACTTTCTTCAAGTGCACAGACTGAAACAAGGTGGGCCACCACACTGGCCACCATAATCGTAAAAATAATGGACTTTAATTAAAAAGTATTTTTATTTCATGTATTATATTTCTGTATTTGGCCCACAGCCAAAGATATTCATTTTGGCCTTCTCAGGGAAAAAGTCTGGGCACCCCTGCTCTAAGATGTAACTTAGAGATGAGCACAAAATTACTTTAAGCTTAATATGAAGCAGATAAAATGTATTTTAAGGCAAAGGGATTTTGGGAGATGTTACGCTAAAGGTTTAAACAACGTCACGTAGCTACAATCAGTTTGAGGTTGGGGAACTTTTAAGATGTTTTCAACAAAAGGCTCATTGAAAGATGGGACCAGTAATTTCTCTGAGCACCTTGTCTCCATCAAATAAACAAATGTTTCACCCTACTGAGTCAATGTCCTTCTGTGTAATGTTAACAGACGCTTGGCTGCTGAAGAAAAGATACTTCTACAGGGAAATTGTAGATTGGTTAGTCTGCCAGACACCTGGGCAGGTGGCTGTGTGACCTTCTGGTCCTACAGTCAGGAAGAGTGGTGGTGATGGTGGTTGCTCAGAGACAGCGTGTCAAATCAGTTTCCAGGAGTTTGGAGGTGGTCTACAGTCTTTTCCAAGTTAACAATTTAAAGTTTAATCGTGAGTATTTACCTAAAGTCTAACTAACTTTAATTTGTTATCTAAATCAAATCCAGTGTTTGCGTTGGTGCATTAAACCTGGGCAAAGGTTTCTGTGGAAATTTTCAGGGAAAATCAAAACAAACTTGAAACAGGAACACTTAGTTGAAGATAGAACCATGGCAGAGAAAGCAATAAAAGAAAAAGGGTTCAAGCTAAGTAAGTTGCAAAGATAGGTTACAAAAATTTCAAGAGTCTTAAAGGAGACAAGACGAGTTCAGACCACTTTAAAGTGGATGACACAAACATTAACGCTGCTGCTCCATGAACCTCCCTTTGCTGTCAGTTATACAGCCAGCTGGACTTCCTGTCCCAAAGTTCCTGCCTAAAGTTTTACCAAGTCAAACAGACACAAAGTCAGCAGAAAATAAATATTTTTATTAATGCACTGTTTTATTTTCTTTTTGAATTTTGGAATCAAATAGTGGAACAAGTCTGACAATGAATGCTCTTATTTTTTTAGCTAACATTGGCTAATGGAAACAATAAAACAAAGAGCAGGCATTCTGGGGTTTTGCTATCATAAAATTGTTGCAGCTTCCTGAGTGGCAGGGCAGAACCTGTTACCTGCAGCTGTTTCCATTCAGCTGATGAGCTCTTGGCTGCTTGGATCTACAAGTCTCTGCTGGAACATTGGTTAATGCATGTCCATGCCATTAGTCTCTGTTCCATGGGTCTTCATCTTGTACCTCCCAGAGTCTCCCTTCAAGCTCAGTCTTCCTTGTAGACTCTCCTACTGGAAAGCACCATCCTCAGACTCTACAAGAACCAAAACTTAACATCAAACCAGTCAGTCTGTTTTGTCCAGCCACTCTCCTACTTCCCTGTGCTGCACTGCTGCCTTACCCTGGAATCCTCTGCCCTCCTCTCCAAGTCTGTAGACAAGAAGACATAGTAAGCCTCAATAGCTTCTTTTGTGAAAACATTTTACAAGACCTGTACTCATGATATCATATCTCCTACGTATCTTACATGCTCCACTGTAGACTCGCCTTGTAAATAAAGCACTTAACTTTCACATACCTGAATGTCTTGAAGCTCTTGGTTTTCAGATCCCTACTCTGAGTTGTACTATTATTGTTTAATCATGATACTAAGCTGCAGTTTTCCTTATGAACATTTCTGAACTAATGTTAGCACTCCTTATATAGAGGGAAAAGTGGTTGAGTGTTTTCCTTATCCAACATCCACCACAAGATGTCTAAATATATTTTCAGCAATAAAAATTAAATTTGAACAGAACTCTGTTAAGCTGCATTTTATTGTTAGAACACAATATAGCAGATAAATGTAATCTTCCATGTATATAAATGTGGTCACAGGACGTGCTGCAAACTATGACTCCTGACATATTGTGCAGCACTTTGGCCGCAATATTTCTTCAGAAAGTGAGTTTGATTCATGAGGTTCCATGCAGGAGGGAGGTCATCAGAAGCCTCACTTCTTTTGTCAAATCACGTCTCATTTTCTGTCTCAAAGTACTTGCTTCTCATTATAAAACAACAAGTGAAAACAACACATGACAATATAGAAACACCTGCAGCTCTCAGTGAGAACAAGATAAAATAAAAAGGAAAAAAAAGCTGTAATGTTTAAAACGTCAATGAAAAATGGGCCTTCCTTTTAGGGAGGACATATTTAAATGAGCAGAAAGCAGACAACGATTAAATGTTTATGTTGAGAATTTTAATCTCCTCTTGTGAGAAATTTACTGAAAGTTTTTTTTTTAAATTTTCATTAATTCTTCAACTCTGAGGGGAAATAAAGTTGGTGCAGCAAAAAAAAGTATAAATAAAACTTGAAAAACAAATAGTTGGCAGGTGCTTTGTGTGGTTTATCCCAGGGGAGTCCCATCTCCATTGAAAATGAGTCACATTAAAAGTTCTCTCTTTGGGCAAACAGTTATGGCTGCATAAAAATATTAGTATGATTACTAATTGCAGCACATATAATAGCATCTATAACAAAGTTTCATAAGTTACATTATTTTTAAGGAAAATACCAGATTATAATGAAACTAAATTTTTTTTTTCAAAGAATGCACATCACCTGCTGCACTGCATGCCAAACGATATAACCTTCCTTCTGTCCCTGTGTCAACAAGGGGGACAAAATTCAAAACTTTGTCCAAATCAAGATTTAAATCCTGTCAATATTTATTGAAGAAATGTTTCATGATAAAATTTTCTTCTCTTTTTAGGAATAAAACTGATCTTTTCCAAATTGTGTTTTGTATTGCATTTGGAACACACATAACCTAACAAATAAAGAAAGAAGAAATATTCATTAGCATTCAATTATTATGCCTTACTCTTTAACAACTTTTCATTTATCTTAGAGATGCATTTCATCACAATCCAGCAAATCAAGAAAAACAATTCTAAAAATCCAGTTATTTGACTTTAAAATAAGAAGAGAAGCTAAAGACAATTAAAGAAATGTTCTGATGCTCTTCCCACACCAAATGCAAATATTAATGAAAAATACAAAATTATTATTTTTTGGCCTGAAACTTGGCTAGCTTTCATGAGAAGAATGCACTAAATACAGTAACAAAAAGAGAAACCATGCAACTATTTCACATTTAAATTATTACCTTTGGGCCAGAAAAACATTAGCAAGAGCCAGATTCGGCCCACTGGCCTCGAGTTTGACCCATGTGCCTTAAGACAACCAAAGGTGGTATTTCTGTATTTATGTCAACATATAAATATCATACAGCAAAAACCCTGATTTCTAATCCTAAGTCTTAACTTTAACTTAACCATAAGGTGACAAAGGTGCTGTCTCATATGCTCAGTTAAATGAATAAAACAGATTTTTTTCCTCCAGCTCTGAGCTGGTTCCCAAAGAGACTCCTTCAGAGTCGACTTTTTGAAGAGCCGCTCAGGAGCTGAAAGAGCAAACTCGTCACACAGTGCTCAGCCAAGAGCCGTTTGAGAGCCGAAAGATCGGGCCCTGTGTGGTGAACCGAGGCAAATGAGCTGGTTCCCAGAAATGAAACGGCAGTCCCATCACTATTATGAAAATGATTTCTAAGTTTGTGTGGAAATGCACCAAAAACCGCTGTTTGAGTGGAATACAATTCAATTTTCCTTGCATCTCGTCAGACCATTGGATTTAAATACTTTCCTATTGATTGTTCTTGGACATATTAAATTATCTCAATGGAATCAAGAGACAAAAAAAGACAGTGAAATCCTAATTTAGACAGCCTACTGAGAAAAAAATAGTTAAAAAATGCAAAATTAGTTTCATAGTTGTATGATGTTTTTCACTGGTTGAAATAATGACTTTAGTATTTATTATATGTTATTTTATAAAGTATGTTTTTATGAGAGCACAGTTTTAATATTATTTATTTATCTGGTTGCAAACAGAGCTAGTACCAAAAAATGGCACTGGCATTTTTCAATCATGTCGAACCACAGTTATTTATATGATATATGAATGGACACAACATACCAGAGGATGTACAGGGGTTAGAGACATTGGGCCTCATGCAAGAACATGTTCGTATTCTTATCCTAAAATTCTCTTACTTTTGTTCGTACAAAGGGTTCGTACGAACATGCCACATCAGATTCAACAAACTCTTCTATCTTCAGGAAAAGTGTGTAAATGAGCTGCGTAAATTTCACCTGTTTGTATCCAGCTGCTCGTGCACGAGGAGAGGTTATTTACATGATTATCACCCCAAAAACACCATATAAGGCTATGTTTCCTGCCCCACATACCAGGAAGTGTCCATTCATAAACGACATCGCAAAGTAAAAAAGAAGAACTTTATGAGTTCGGAGATTGTAGTCCTGCTCTCCGAGATCGAGAAAAAAAAACTGTTCTCTTTAGCAGCATCATGTGGAATTAAAGGAACTGCTTAAAGGAATGAAATGTGCTGTTAATGTCGTGTCTCCTGTGGGTCGTACAGTCACAGAAATAAAAAT